GAGTCTTCTACATAAAGGATCATGTAATTTGTGAATAAGGATAGTTTGACTTTTCCTATAGTTATCCCTTTTCTTTCTCTTCTGAGTGCTCTGGCTAAAGTTTCTTTCTTTCTTTTTTTTTTTTTTTTTTGGTACCTGGGATCAAACTCGGGTCCTTGTGCTTGCACAGCAGGCAGCGAAACCACTGAGCTAAATCCCCGGCCAAAAGTTTCAAGTACTATATTGAACAGGAGTGGTGATAGTGAACATCCTTGTCTTGTTCCTGATCTGAACCCATTTAAAGAAGTATAACCATATTTCTAGCTTCCAAAATTTATCACTAATCTTTTTGATCCTATTACTTCCATGTTCCCAGGCCCTTGGTTGCATGTAAATGGTAAAGATTTGTTTTTCTGATCGCTTCTCAGCCTTTTGGCTAAGATCAAGTGAAGATTTGTTTTGGGGGGATATCTTCCCTTCTATGCAAAGCTGGCAAGAAACACTGCTCAGATTTGTTCCCACTGGATAGAATTTCTTTATTTACTGTCCTTTAGAACCATCTTTGGTAAGGCTCTAATACCACACTCTACTTGTAGCTAGTAGTACCAGTATATTGTGTTATACTGCTTATAAAAGGTATAATTGAAAAATATAGTGAATGTTTTTTAAAAAATCTTTATTACAGTAAAAGACACATCATCATTAACCCCCCTCAAAATATCCTTCCTTGCTTCAAACACACTTATCTCATTCTTTCTACTTTCTAAAGGAGTTCTGGTAGTTCTCTTTCATGAGTATTTTCAATTGTGCTGTTGTGGCTGCCTCTGTGTCTCAAATCAAGTAAAAAAATTTATCTTTCATGGTCATTCTGGCTTTAGAAAGACCCAGAAGTCACACAATGACAGATCCAGTGAATAAAATGAATGAGGAAACACCATAATTTCTTTTTTTTGGTACTGGGAATCGAACTCGGGTCCTTGCACTGAGGCAGGCAGCAGAACCAGAGCTAAATCCCCAGCCCTCCATAATTTTTTTCCAAGCCTGCTTATCCAGTGGATGGCATGCCCCAGCAGTATTTACCATATTTTTTTATCATACCTCCTAAAGACACTCATAAAAATTGACTTCCAGAACTGCTTCAAGAAAGTGGCAAGAATGGTGGAATAAATGTGTTCAAGGTGAGAGGGGAGTATTTTGAGGAGGATTTATGACAATGTGTCTTACTTTAATAACTTAAAAATTTAAACACGCACCATATATTTTGATCACCCTTTGTATAAAAGGGCCAAATTTTTTCTTTTCAATTGAACTGGAAAGTGTATTATTTCCTATTGTAGGTATGGTTCATGGGTTTGCTTGCTTGCTTCTCTCAAACATAACCTGCCTTATCAAATACAACTTGATATAAACAAATTAAAAGCTTTACAGAAAGAATGTACATTGAAACAAGATTCTGAACCAGAGTGAAATTAGAAGAGTAAGTGGTGCTATGTTGTGGGGGTGGAGCCATTTCAAGTGAAATGAGAGAAAATGTTAGTGAAAAATTATGTAGCACAGGGCAAGACAGAAGTAGAAACATGTTGGCTAAAGAAAGTAAAAATTGTATCTTAAGTGCACTACTGGCTTTATTATGTGATAGTAGACCTAGAAAACAACCACTGAACATTCTTGTAGTTTCTATAAAAGGAAGTAAGCCAGGCAAGAAGTCAGAATTTGTAGTGCTGAAGTTAGGTCTTGCTTATTTTGTGGTCTGATGAGTCTAGATATCATTCAGACGAACCACAGATACACATGAGAAAATAATATGTAGAAACTAAGAAGAGACAACGTCAAACAGTAGTCTGGAAAAATTTTCATCCCATTTATTACTCTCAGTAGAAAGAAATATGATGTGTCATAATTTATTTCTCAAAAAAAAACCTTCTATGTAGGAACACTTAAAAGAATCAAAGTCAGGTTTTACAACCTTCCTTTTCATCTCCATGCAAATGTACATTAGAGAATCGAAAGTTTCAGACTTCTCTTGAACAAAAGAGAGTCAACAGTCTCCCCTATGTTACTACCAGTTTCTTTGATAGGAGTCATAGTTTATCTAGTGAAAGAATTTTTTATTTATATTAGGTACTACACTAAACTCCCACAGTGCTAAGGCTTAGTGAGGGAGACAGATGTGTGAAAAGATGATCACGGTACAATGTGATCAGGATTATACTACAGCACTTAACAAGTGTGAACTACATGCTGAAGGAGTCAAGAAGCTTGAGAAGAAATCTTGAGATCTTCAGTTAAACCCTAAGAAGTCACTAAAGACACATCAATGTGCTGTGTATATAGTATTGTCTTACAATCTTTGCATAGGGAAATGCAAAAGAGAGAACTGAATCCAACAGTGTGATAAGATAAGACTACAACTCACCTATGTCAATAGGACTTAGTTGTTTATTCCAGGAAATCTATGACCAGGAGAGATAAAATTGTAAATAAAATAAAACAAATAAAAATAGGAATGACTTTTTTGCTTGCATAAGGAAATCCTGACAGATTGGAAACAATATGATTGATTACCTGAGCAAACAGCTTGCTTCTCAAACAATTGTTGACTTATCAAGACTCTTTAAGACCCTTGTTCGCTGTGACTGCCAGTCCTATTAATTTTGCCAAGCCTAGTCAGTTTTCTTCCTTGACAGACATGCCTTAAACCATTTGAGGACAGATTTCCCACAAATACCTTATTTCCAGGTTCTGAGACATAGCTAAGCATATCAAAGTAGTACTTTCTTATTGCATACATTTTATTATTTAGTTTTGCTTTATTAACAGGTCACCTGTTACTTTGGGAAGGTCAATAATAGCAAAAAAAATTTTTAAGGACTGCTCATTTAACTGATGTATCCTCTTGCACTATAAAATCATTTTTTCTATGTCAGAACAATTCACTTTTCTCTCACAGGTCTATGTTGATATGTCTATATCACCTGGCTTTATGTTGAGGGAGGCCCCATTTAAAATACAAGATCTCTTCAAGAAGTCCTTTCTAACTACAATTCACTAACAAATAACCAACTCATTGCTGTCAGCTAGCATACCAAACCACATAAATATTGAACTGAGGAACTTGACAAGAAATAAAAGTCTCAAAGCTTTACTCACAGTGATTGATTCAGGGTATTAGCACAAGGCCCAGGCATCTCCATTTTAAAAAATACAGGTTTCTTATGCAAGCTGTCTTTAGACCACACTTTGAAATATAATGCTCTCCTCCTCCCATACCAGTAAACATATGTGTATTATACATATATATTATTAACCTATATTAACTATTCCACATATTATAATGAAAGTGGGATCATACTATATACATACATAAATTTGCATCCCTTTTAATGGCTATATGTTTGAACAATAATTTATCCATTTTGCTACTGAAGGACATTTAGATTACTGGCTTTTTTTCTAATGCCAGCAATGCTAGAATGAATACTTTGCATGTTTATATTTATATATTTGAGCTAAATTTTATGTAGAACATAGAAAGTGGAACACATGTAGAAACATAGGATTGCTAAGATCAGAGGATATATGGTATACTTTAAAGTTTGATATTACTGAATTCCCCACCAATTCATTTGTAGTCCTGCCAATCATCTTAGTGACTAATGATTTCTTCTATACCAGTGCCAATACTAGTACCAATTATTTTAAGCATCATCAATCTGACAGGTTAAAAAAAAAAACCCTCATTTTAATTTTGCATTTTACCATATTTGTAGTATTAGAATAACTAGCACTGTTTGTCAGTGAAACACAATTATCTCAAACTCTGCAAAATTTACCATGATTTAGTTTTAGCAAATTTTGACTTTATTTTAAAAACTTAACCTTATAGGAAAGATGGGATAAAAGTGAGAACTGTTAAGACTTGTGTTCAGGGTGTGGCTTTGCCACCCAGCACCTAGGTGACTTTGGGCAAGTCATCTATCCTCCTGAGAGCTTCAGTTTCCTCTTTTGCAAAATGGGGATTCTACTCATGTTATAAGATTGTTTTGAGTATTAAATGAAATAATAATTTAGTTATAAATATTAGCTATTACTACCACCATAATAGCAATGTAAGGTAAATTATTGTCATTAAACTTGCTTGTAGTCTTTTTATCATTATAAAATAATTATGCTGATATTAACAAAGTCAGATTGTATTGGCACATCAACTATTGGGATTATTGAAATCACTAGAAGAGTACACATTTCATAGAGCTAACAAAAGGTTTATGAAAGCTGGTTCTTATTCTGTTTTTCTACAAGTCTTCTTCTAAGAGAGATTTAGAAAATATTTTCTAAATCAGTTCCTTAGATGAAATGAAATTATTCAAATATATGATTAACCACACACAAGATTTTTTAGAGAGGGTTTTGTTCCTAAGTATAAACAATAGTGCAGTTCCATATAACACCAACTGATATTTCCTAGAGCCAATAAATGAAGTTCTAAATTTTTACTGTTAAATAATACATTAGAGACATTTCCTCAATTCTTTTCCAAAGCTAGCCTCAATTCAACTCAGGCACATAGTCCTATGCCAAGTACAAGCAGCATATTATCTCTGAACTCAAGAGATAAAGTCACATTAAAGTTAAAAGGCAAAAAAATGTTATCTCAATTTGCCTGTGCTTCTGGTATAGCAAATAATCAGCCTTGCTGCACGAGCCATGGAAGGTCTCTTCTTTGGATGAACACTAACAGACCTCTGCTCCTCATCCCTAGGCTATGTAAAGCACAAAGCCAGGAATGAGATGTCATTGTCCCATGGCTTACCCCCAACAGCTCTCAAGGGCTCAACCAACGTAAGTCTTTTTCCTGTCTTTTCTCCCTGCATATCATGATATTTGTAAATTTCTATAACTTTTTAAATGAATAAATAATCTGGAAAATATTTTTTCATTTTTTATTTTAATAACACAAGAGGCAACACTTACTATATAAAGTACTGCATATGGAGAACATTTACACAAATATACAAAACTTCAAAAAGTAAACTCCAGTTTATTTCTATATCCTTAAAAGCATACAGAACACATAAAAATATTCAAAGTCATGTTCATTCTTTAGGAATGTGAACTCTAGGAATACAATTAGAAACAAGAATATTTACTAGGATAAGATTAATATCATTACATGATTAGAAGTAAAGGTAAGAAGTACACAATAAGCTTCATATGAGAGAATTTAACAGGATGTAAAATAGGATCTTGAGTTTTCTAATCAAAACTTTATATGAAGACACAGGTGCTCTTAGAACTCCACTATAAAAAACATAAAAATATCTTCAAAAATGTTTACTGCTAGACTCAGTAGATATACACAAGTTACAAATACAAAGACAACATATTTATATTTTCTAATGAATTTAAACGCTATTAAAATTTTTAATAACTCAATGTATTAAGTATAATTTCACTAAGTTACAAATCTAAAAATATAACTTCATGCTTATCAAAGGACTAGAGGGTTTTAACTTTCCATTCAAAGATTGGGAAGACATTATTATACATTAATTTCTACCTACAATGCTTAATTTAATTATGCATCAAATCATTTGCCTTTTTTTTTTGGTATCAGGGATCGAACTCGGGTCCTTGTGCTTGCACAGCAGGCGGTGAAACCACTGAGCTAAATCCCTGCCCCTCATTTGCCCTTTAAAATGCTTTTTTGTAATTTTTTTGTTACATCATTTAACATATATATTTCCTTGACGTGCTTTCCTTTAATACAGATGTTGTGCCTATAGACTTAAACATAAAACTGCCTTAAAAATTCTCAAAATACATTTTGTCCTCTATGATTTAATACCCTGAACAGTTTAGTTTTATTCTTCCAAAATAGGCAAAATCCCTTAAAACTGGGATCATTTTGATCCATTTTGGTTTTAAAATGTACTTCCCTTTAATTCAACTTTTAAAAAAATGAGTAAGATTTGCTGAGAAGTTGAAAAAGGCAATGAAATACCGCTTTTTCAAAACAAACTGTCATTTAAGGACTAAAAATTTCTATTCTTCAAGTTTACAGAGTTTGCCTTAACAAGTTCCACAGTGTGGGATAAGGGGCTCCAGGGTGCTTTCCTGTGGTTTTAGGGACAGAATGACACTTTCCCCTGGGTACTCTGGGAAACCTCAAAAAGTCTACTCTGTTTCTCTCCCCACTTGAATCCCAAGAGGTTAGTGTTGGGTCCAGCTTCACCAGGAAATCCAGCCAATTGGGGTTCAAGAGTAAGATTGGGTGATTTCAAGAATCCCTAGAGGCTTAAAATGTGGGAAAGAACTGCAATTTCTGCTCAGATCCTTTTAAGTATGAGGTGCATAAGCAGAATTTTGTGGAGTTCTCCTCTTGATAAAGGTATTATTCTGGATACACAGGAGGCCTGTGATCATTAGCAGCTTTATAGGAATATGACCTAAAAAAACCAACTTACCTTACAAAAAGTGAATGGAGAGAGTCTTAGGGACAATAATCATTGTTGCCATAGTTAATATTATCCAGTTTTCATGACTATAATAAAAGCTGTCAGTATATAATTCTTATTTGAAATAGTATCAAAGGTTCGGAATATGAAAGAATTTTGTTGTTAACTCCACACTACAAAAAAATCCATTGGTGCAAATCACCTGAAGCCAAAATTCAGAATCACCCCCACTGAGGAAGTCTTCAGAAATTTTTTTAGAAAAGAATACACATATGCAAATTTGTTATGCAGTGTATAAAAGTTTAAGTACAAAAGGCATAACCTCACATACTTAAACTTATAGGCATTTATACCTCTGATTTTATTTATGATAAACAATATAAAATTCACATTTTTACTGCAATAATAAATGAAGATCATTAGGAATTCAGAATTAGAAGACCTAAGTCATGAGTCCATGCTATTAAAAAGTTAATTTGCTTTCAAAAATAAATATTATAATGATATTTAATATTAAATATTTATTTGATCTAAGGTTCTGAGACCACTGAGAATCCTACATATTAGACAAGCAGTTTGTTTGTACTGATACTCTCTTCTCAAATATTAACATGCATAAAAATCACTTGAAAATCTTGTTAAAATGTCCATTTTGATTCACTAGGTCTGGTCTTTAAATTCTGGATTTTTACCAAAATGGCTGGTGATGCCAATTTACCTTACTGGTCCTCAGACCATATTAATAGCAAAAGTCTAGAATAATACCAAAATCGAGTTTCATTACAGTGGTAGAATATTAAAATCTGTTCTCTCGTCTGTGCCAGCTAAGGTTTCTTCAAACTTACTCTACATTTCTAAGCATCTTGACTTGCTTAAAATGCCAAACTTTTTAACTTACTTCTTAATACCATAATATCAATACTGTTAGTAACTCTGCATAGGGGAAATTCTGTTAAAGAATTAGGAAAAGACAATAGGAAATTCACAGTAATATTTTACACATATTTTAAACTGTACACAGGATTACTATTAAATTAATACAAAATCAACTCTATCTAATTGCCTTCCAGTTTTTGACTACTATTTATGCCAACAGATCTTATTCTGTTCTATTACTAGAACTAAAAATATCAGATTCATTCTTTGTAAAACCCACATTATATTCAAGGCTAATGAGTGAAAACTAGTCCATGATTTTTGAAGAATTGGGTTTAAACTGGTGGGCAAAGCAATTATGGTTTTTAAAACTATACTCACCATAAATGCTTGGCACTGTTCAACACATACGAGTTTTTACATATTGTATTTGAGCTGTGCATAAGCAAGTACAAGAGGGAAACACAAGCATGTTTTCTTTGTGACCATAACTAGGAACCATGAATAAGGAAACCACTGTGTACAAAAAGTGAAAGCAGCTTCCAAGTGTACAGCTTCCAAGTAAGTAGCTTCCCCAGCTATTTACTCTCATCCTCAGCCTTGCTTCCTCCTCTCAGTCTCTTTCCCTCTCTCTCTCTCTCTCTCTCTCCCTCTCTCTCTCTCTCTGAATTATTGCTTAAGTATATTTGCTTCACAGAAAACCTCCACCATAGCTGAACTGGCTACCACTAGCAAATACCAAAGACCAAACCTGTATGTCCATCTCGAGGTCACACCACCGCCGGTAGCTACATACAAGTTTATTTAGCTTCTGCTTGATTGCCTTTCTTATTTTTATTTTTGGTTGAGGGTAACTGATTATCCTTTCTGTATAATAAAAAAAACATTTAAAACAGGCCTGTTCACAATCAAGAAATACATTTAATTTTTTCATATTTATTTAAGAAGACAAACATAAACAACTCTAAATTAGTTAATATACAAATGTCCTTTGTCCATATTTCACTATATATTTTCTTTCATGACATCTTACAGATGAAAAACTTATCTAATTTCCTTCATTTGCAGATAAACAACTCAATATTACACAGTTGATACTGGAATCTTCAGGGCTGTGTTCCAAGATTTACAATGATTTCCAGGAAGTCTTCAGTGATATGTGCTCTGAATTATAGGAATCCAAACTAATTTGGATTTCCAAAGTCCAGCAGCAGGATCGATCAGCTTTATGGCCTATTATACCTTAGGAACTTAAAGGAATTTTCACCTGCTAAACCCAGATCAAACACTTCATAACAACATTATCTGCCAGCAATCTTAGTTTTGATATAAAAACATTCCAAAGATATCAACAGAAATGCCCCTGCCCATCTCCTGGAACCACATAATAATCACTTGCTAACTCCTCTGTGAGTTGTCAGGCATTTTCCAGTCCTTTGAATAAACTGTCATTATCTTAAAGATGACCTGGCTACAAGTATTTTTTATCAGCACTTTTCATAGTAATCATTTTTGTTTTTTCATGTGCCTGTTTTCCAGGGCAGCTGGCTAAAAGGCCGACTATGGAATTCCTTAACTCGCTTCTCTGCCCCATCTCTTATAAGCCAGTTCCCTTACGTGGAGATGCTCTTTGACTGAGAAGGGCAAACACACAGCTACCAAAGTAGAAAGTATTAAAAACAAACTCAAGGGCCAGGAATTTAGCTCAGTGGTTCCACTGCCTGCCTCCCAAGCGCAAGGTCCCGAGTTCAATCCCTGGTACCAAAAAAAAAAAAAACCCTCAAAATGTCACAGGACATGTAACCAACTTGATCAGACAATCTGCCAATATTTATTGTCATACCACAATCTTAGGATAACATAACTATAAGAAAAAAAAAGACTCAAACTGGAAGGGAGGCAAACCAAGAAATAACAAAACCATATTTCAACTTACTGCAACCTAGACATTTCCTTCATTAACCAAGACATTACTCCCTTCATCAAAGTCAAGGGAGCCTTCAGAATTTAAGGGCTCATGTTAGGAACAGGCATGAAAGAACTAGGGCACTTTCATTAAGAAGCAGTCATATTTCCAGATTTACTGGTTATAAGAAGAAAACTATGTTACAAATTAATCTGTGGACAAAGTAATGCTAATACTAGGAGGTCTTTGCTGACCTGCTTGATACTTCATTGGAAGTTCAGTCCTTTCTGAAACATAAATAAGCTTTTCTTCTTGGAGACTACAAGCAGAAAACCTATTGGCATCTGTCCCAGTGCCACAACCAATGGCAGATGATGGGTTATGTGGGACTGTGACACCACTGACTTGTTCAAAGGATTTACTAAATACAGTCGCTGCCGTCTTGGCCAAACCATGGCTACTAGGCTTAGGTAGGGACTGGCTGGTGGTTAAAGTTAGTCTCTTCAAAGAGAGAAGCTCAAGATTCTCACTTTGGGCTCTCTGTGTATGTTTTCGAGCAAAGTGATCTTTGCAAAATTCCCCTGTAGTTTCTTTTTCTTTTCCTCCAGTTTTGCTTCCTCCTGACCGTCTCTGGTTCTTTCCTACACTTGTCTTGTTACTACAATTGTGACTACTGTTTGATAAACCCGACTGGCTGGTACTAGAGGCAGCCCTGGAATAAAATCCCTCGTCAACTTCAGATATCTCCATCAGTTCTTCTTGACCTGTAAATTCTGTATTTCCTAAACAAAGAAATGACAAAGATCAATTAACATTAAGTTGCTTAAGCAACTTTAAAAAGATTAATCCCAAATCCATTATGTTTAAATCAATTAAACTGTAGCATAATTTCACAAAGCAACAGATTAGAGAACAAAATCAAAGGATAAACTGAGAATTTATTCTATAAATGTAAAAAATAGTTCACTGTAATTAAATGCAGTAATAGAGTATATTAAATAAAAAGCATGCCATAAACCACACCCTATTGTGTTTTTAGAAAGAGTTCCTCTATTATTCATGCAAAAGATCAGAGACAATTAGAAAAATTATCACACATTAAAACTAGAGGAAAACTTTCCCCAGTAGCAAAGTAGTAAAAATCAAAGATATAGCCAAAGAACTTTTTGAAAAACAGCATTAGAATATTTTAAAGTGTTTTCTTAGAAAGTTGCATTCTCCATTCTGGATTATCTTACTAAAGAAAAAAAATCTAGATTTATAAATACCACAGGTCAAAACATTAAAGTAATATATATATTAGCATTCATATAATAGATAGCAAAAATATAAAAATTAAAAAATTTTACATACCAAAACATAAAGCAGAAAATTGCTCCAGAAGCAATTTTATGCCTCAGTTTTCATAACAATTTACTGAGAGACAATATAGGTACGACCATTCCAAAGAGCACTGAGTCATTGAGAAATTGTGATGCATAATTCATGCACTTTATTAGAAGACATGCAAAATTTTGTGACTGCAACTGCTGCTACACATGCATCAGTGGCCCTTTGCCTTGAGATACCTTGGAGTGCAGCTATAAAGTGCTCTGCTAAAACTGCACTCTGCCAGGTGAGTTTATTCCATCCTCCATCATTTTTCTTATAGACTTTTGCCTCCTGATCTCTGGCAAGCCTTTGCTCTCAGCTCTAGGATCTGTGGCTGTTTCCTGCACACCCTGCATATGCTGAGCATCAATCTCTCCTAGTGTTCTGCCTTTTTCCCCATTCCCGGTTCTCTCTCCGGACACATTTGTGACACTAATCTCAGGAATGACAAGGATGCCCAATTCAGTAGTATCATTATTGTTGTCAGGTTGCTCTAGAATTGAAGATGATAAGACAAAATGATGGCTGAAAACAAAACAAAATAAAAATGCAAAACAAGAAAAACAAAAGTTCCAAAATAAAAAACTGGACAACAGAATGTTATGAATTAAGCCAAGTATTTACACCATAGAAATTTCTGTAATTTACAATACTCAGACAGCACTGGAGACAAGATGGTCATGTTATTTAATTTTAAATGAGAAAGAAAAAATTTACAGAGCATCAGTTCATGTTCTGCATTTTTTCACACATATTTCACATAGAAGATGAAACAAAATTTTTAAATAAATGATAATACAATTTTTATTATTTTTAAGATCATACTGTAACTATTTGAACTTATATCAACCTTTAGGCAAATGCTGAAGGGTGTACAGACAAAACTCTAGCTCTTGTCAACATTAGGAACAATACTACTTAGAAATTCCCCTTTGTATGCATAAAAATCTATTTTTTAAATCAGACTACATTGAGACTGATTTAACAAAGCCATCTGGGAAAATGCTTATTCACTTTTGACATGGTTAGCAATGCAAGAGGTATAGTTTTTGTATCATATACATATTGTCTTACATACTACAGTAAATATAACTGTGGCTGTGATAGAATAAAGCAATTAATTTCTTCAGATTCATACTAATTCCACAAATTTAGAACCTGTAGTAGTTACTATAATACAGAAAAAAAGACAGTTTTATTTAAAGCTGTCAAGTAAGTATCTATAGTAGATAGAGGAAAATAACATATCTAGAATGGGCCAGCAGTGAAACTTAAAAGTTCAAAATGACATAAGATTATTTATATAAGACAGTATATACTCTATAAAAATGTAGACTACAAATCTGCTAGAGGAAAATGACCCTCTAGTTTCAAATGTTTTTATTAATATGACTGTCAAACTCTCACCAATGGTGCTAAAGGTTGAGAAGCAACACAAGGTAGTAAAAGAATGGAAGCCAGAGACACATGCTCCTGACCCTGTGGCACAGTGGTAATCACCTGGACATCTTTAAAAGCTGCAGGCTCCCACCCATAGGCATACAGTTCACCTTTAGCACGAGGTACAACCTGGTCATTAGGAGTTTAAAAAGCTCCAGTTGACTAATGGACAACAAAGTTTGGAAACCTCTGCTCTATTCTGATTCTTTCACATTTTGAAAACTTTTAAGTTGCCATGGGTGCCCTAAACACTCCAACCCAGCAGCAGTATGCACTTGTGAAAGTCCTCTGCTCAAAGCTTCTGCTGCCCTGTGCTGGTGAACCAATGTGCACATATAATTATCTCCCCTTAACTTAGTGCTTCATATACTTTTAACTAAAGGTTTGCTAAGTGAAATTTTTAGTTTTAAGATAGGTCAAGCAGTGTTGGTGAGGTAGTAGTGCACTGCTGCTTGTGGATCCCAACAAAGGAAGGTTTAATGTGACTAAAAAGCTCCAACCAAGCCTATTCACAATTGCTAACAGCTCTCTTCAAAGTGAGGTCAGGGCCAGGGATTTAGCTGGGCCGGGGATTTAGCTCAGTGGTTCCAGTGCCTGCCTCGCAAGCACAAGGTACCGAGTTCGATGCCCGGTACACCAAAAGCAAAAAACAAGAAAAAACAAAGTGAGGTCAAATAAATTCTTACTGAGATACATGCCAGAGGTCAGTCACTGCAGCTTAAGAGCAAAATCACCATGGGGCTGTTGAGTGACAGCCAAGACTTGCTCATTTACATTGTAGAAGCCGTTTCAAAAAAGAGCATAAGGGGACCTTCAGTCCAAAAGGAAAAATTATAAATGTTGGAAATTATCCAGATAGAAAAAAGCCAATGAATTAAAACTTAACAAAGATTTAAGACATGCATAGACAGCCTAATAGAGAATACTAACACTAGTTTTTTTTTAGAATGTTCACATATATTATGCAATTACATCCTCAAAACAATATGTTAATAAACCGCTGAAGTAGGCCATTTGATTCCCATTTACAAGAAAGCAAACTGAAATTCACAAACAGCTATGCAATTATTCAATGAGGAAGCTAAACAGTGGAATCTTTTGACTTCAAATGTCCATTTTAATATATTATACATTCTAATTCCTCAATTCATTAAAGTCAATCTGAGTTCAAAATCCTCTGACATCTTCCAATTAGATTTAATTTATTTACTTAGGTTCCTGGTCATTTCATAGAAACCAAATAATTTACTTTGGCTGAAAAGAGAGCCAGAACAAATAAATTCTGGAAGAAAACCTAAGAAAAGTCATAACTCTCAATTTTAGTTTTTAAAAAAATTTTTAATTTGTTTTAAAGATGCTAATGAAAGTCATTAATTTAAAATAGTGCTTCTATGGTGGAAATTTGGGGGGGGAAACCTAGAAAATGACAAGAGGAATATTACATTTAGCAGCAGAAGGCAACTGGATTGTTAATCACATTTACAGGACAGTGAAAAAGATCTGCAGCCTGAGAATAAATTATATTAAATTTATTTCAATCATGAAATTAAATGGCATACAGAAAAATGAGATCATGTGTTTTCCCAAAAGAAGAAATCTTTGACTAATTAATATATATGCTATCACTAAGAAATGGTAACAGATTTTTTTAAACTGCTTATTAAATTCATAAAAGGAAAAGCATGTAATCTATAAAGAGCAAGAAAGAACAAAAACATTAATTCTCAGGAAAATTACAGACTAAGATAAAAAAGATAATTATGTAGGCCAAACAAATACTTATTACATGACCTTGCTCCTGAACACTGTATCTCTGACTTCTTCCCCTATGTAACGCCATGGCCCAGGCTCTCCACACATACTTTCTTACTAGCTTCCTGGCTGTCCTCTGGGCTTGGAATGCTTTCTGCCAGCTAGCTGAAGGGCTCATTTCCTTTGGGTCTTTTCTGAGAAGCTTTTCAGTGAAGCCCTCCAAGTCAAGCCATCAAAAGTTTCAATACCCCCTATATTTCATATACCCTCTTCCCCATTTTGTTTCTTCTTCTTAGTACTCTCTAGCCTACAAATATTTATTTATCTTAGTTACCAGAGGTAAGTTTCATGAGCACAGAGGTTTTTGTCTGGTCACTGCTGCATACCAAATACCTGGAAAAGTAGCTTGTATGCAGTAGGCACCCCGTAAATGTTTGATGAATTGAATGAATTTCCTGTTATGAGATGAAATTATTATTGGAATGAATACAGGTGAATAAACATCCAGGAGACATGAGAAATGTAAGCTAGGAATATGATTTTTCTTTTATCTAGTCAAGTAATATATAGCTTATGTTAATAAGAATTTTTAGGTGGCAAAGAAAAGCAAAGGTTCTTTGTTTTGAAAAGTAAAGTAAGGGCTGGGGATTTAGCTCAGTGGTGCCGCCACCTGCCTCTCAAGCACAAGGTTCCAAGTTTGATCCTCAGTACCAAAAAAAAAAAAATGTTAATGTTTGGGCCAGGGGTTTAGCTCAGTGGTTTCGCTGCCTGCTGCGCAAGCACAAGGACCCAAGTTCGATCCCCGGTACCAAAAAAAAAGTAAAGTAGCTACCTCTAAATGTAGATTTAGTAAAATGCTTAGTAAGATCAAAAAGATCTTTTTTTAAATGTATACTTGTTTTATATAATTAAAAAAACAACACACATAAGGAGAGGTAATTAATCTTTCCTTTAAGAAAATTACACAGAAGATATTTTAAGGGTATATAAATGCGCAAAAAGAATCTGTTTTCCCTAGAACTTAAAACTTTATGCAAAAGGAGTTATAATTAATTCATACTTACAAAAAGACTATTTATATTTAACTTCAAATAATTTGTAAAAGATCCAAAGAACAATTTCTCAGAGAATATTTTATTTGTATAACCTCTATGTGCACAAATAGCTAAACATTTCTCCATATGAGGAAACAAAGAGTATTGAAGAATATTTTTAATAG